TCTATAATTTTATTTGATACGACGCTCTCTTTTGCAAATTATTTCATTCAAAACTGCTTCCTTACTTGAGTGTAGATGCTCGTAAATGTCAGTAATTATAGAATAAATGAATAAATAATTCTTTTTATTTAATTTTTCTTGTGTTTGAACAAGTGTTTTATTAAATTCTACGAGAACGTCTAAGAATGGGAGTTTACTTTTTGGACTAATTTCATAGGAAAAGTTAAAGATAGAATTTTTTTTCAAATAACTTTACCTAAGAAGTTAGTCAAAAAAAAAAAAAAAAAAAAAACTCCCATTCTTTGACGTTTAAATAAATATTGATCTGGTCCACTTTTTGTATAAAAATTAAATGGCATCCTGCCGTTCATCCATGCCCATGAATTTGATCCCACTCATCTGCTCCTCTGGGACATCTCCGTCTGTGGCCCGAACAGGCTGATGGACGAGTAGCAGTCTCTGTCACATAAGTCACATTTGTGAATAGTCTGCGTGTTTTCTATTCTGCAGCCAAATTTTCTGAGATCCCGCTTACCTTCTGCTACGTTCTTCAGATTATCCTCTCCTGACATTGTTTAGTTCGGGTGCTTCTCCACCGTACACCGGTAAGCAGCAATGTCCTCCCATACACATAGACACGCACGTAACATACACACACACACACACACACACACATATATATATATATATATATATATATATATATATATATATATATATATATATATATATACAGGCAGTAACCTTTCTTTTAAACATTGTTCGTTAAATATGGCAGACAATGAAAATGCAATTAATTTTTTATTTAGTTTTCCCCCCGTCCTCCCGTCTACCCGTTTGGTTGGAGTAAAGAAGTAAAAAATGTTCCATAATGTCGTATGTCCCAAGCACTTTCGGACACTTCTTTAGCCATTTCGAGGATATTTTAGGCATTGCTATTTTTTCTTCATATTTTGGCAATTTTCTGTGCCATTTTAAATGGGAGCTTTTATTCCGAGCTTTTGCTTGTTGAGAGCAGCTGGATATCGAGTGACCGTCTTTCTTTTTTTTTTTTAATTTAACACTCCATTACCACTGTTAAATAAGGTGAGGTTCATAGAAGGACAGAGATGTTTTATATACAGAGTCTCTCGAGTTGATTCCGGTAATATATATTCTTAAGTTTTTCTTATGGGTTCTTGTAAATTGAGGGTAGATAGATTTGTTTTTATCTGTTAAGTGACACTTGAGGCATCTATTGAATGAAGTGGTATCACGTTCGATATGGGTAATTGATTTGTGACAAGAAACATGGCTTGTTCTTGGCAGTGAAATTGATATACCATATATATATATATATATATATATATATATATATATATATATATATATATATATATATATATACATCGTATATGTCGGTTTACAAGGCAACATTTTAATCTTAAAACATTAATTGCAAAATAGGGTGCCGTCTAATACTTCCGGTATACACTGTGAACCTTAAATTCTCTGATTTTGCTTATGATTTTTGACTGTAGGCTAACCGCTGCCTTTGTATTTTGCGATACAAATATTTGAATAGTTGAACAAAAACAGAGCGGGCTGTGTGTCTCAACAGGGACTTTAAAGATCACATTTGGAAACACTGGAACGTATTGACGTCTATCGGAGAAAATTAATTCAGGCTTGTGCAGTAGCCTACCTAAAACAGAACGCTCCCTCATGAAGTATTTGTAGATTGTTCTTCGTGCCATGCTTTTTATGGATATCTCAGTCTCAGTTACTTCCCTTTAGTAACTCAACTCTCCAGGTTTTTATTTTTCCTCAGCTGTGGTAGGTATTGAGCTCACAACTTTTTGAGCCAAGTCACTGGATTACTTCAATCCCAAGGACACTTGTCACAGTGGATGAAAACATTCGTTAAACAATCTACCCCCGGGTACTAAATAAAGGGTTCAGTTGGAAATTCCAAAAGTATGTCACACGAAGAAGGCCGGGGCATACAATGATCAGAACGTCATGTATATGAAAATAAAAATGAGGATAACAGTCCGAACAATGTCAATAGTGTAAATAGTTACAATACTTCTTAGAAATAGAGACAGATGTTGAAGGATCGGTAGAGACCCGATATACAAGGAGCGTACAACGGCTGAAACGTCGGGAATATGGCAATAAAGATGAGAACAATAGTCTGAATAATGCAAATAGTGTAAAGTGTGACAAGACCTCATCTTAGAAATATCGACAGATGTTAAAATGTAACTGGTTTTAATTTTACGAAGTAAAATGTTAAAAAGGAAGGAACCAAAACAAGAGCTATAGAAAACCGTTTAAAAATATTAACTGCTGAAAAGAATCCGTTTATTTCGGAATAATCGGTTTTAGAACTAAACTTTCCGTAACCTTGATAGTCGAGTTAAACGATTTCTTCGAAAAAGGCATCAAATCCAATGGCGCCATCACATCGACAGTGCTACTGTAGCTTTTATTTTCAATCAATAATAGTATTTAATTAATGTCGGTAAGATTGTTCCCGGGAAGAAAGTATTTAGTAATTGCGTCAATTCACAGTTGAAATCAAATGGTATGCTACGAGTCGCCTCTGACCTTACGATCACTTGTTATCGAAACCACTTAAACTGTTGTTATTGATTGGACTACACGTCATCAATCTAATAGCCACGGTTGTTATTGCAAGTAGCTGTACAATCATAACACTATCGCTTATCATTACATAGAAATTTCATGGCAAGCATTATGTATCATTTACAATGCTGGTCTCGTAAAGAATTGATTGTTTTCATCTTTCATTAACTGAGCAGTAAAAAAGGCCTTGGTCAATTTCTATTTTTTTTTAAATGATTACATAGAAAAACAGGGTCAACTGCTACACACACACACACACACACACACACACACATATATATATATATATATATATATATATATATATATATATATATACACTACAATTCAAAAGTTTCAGAAGAAAACACTTATACAAACACAAAAAAATGAAATAAACAGCAACGACTCGTCAAAAGTCTTTAATGAAACGTGTATAAAAAGTGGATTGCTGCACAATTATACATATAGACATACGCACACGGACACACAAACACGTATATAGAGATTGATGAAAATTCTCTCTCTCTCTCTATATATATATATATATATATATATATATATATAAAGAATTTGCATGGAATGACCTTGATAGCAGAGTGAAGTAAAGATAAAATAAAAAAGAGTTCTTAGAGTCAATGAAAAAAAAAGGGAATCAATTATCAAACTTATACTTTGGGAAAATTTCGCAACGAATGGCAAAATTTTGTGCTGCATTAATCAAGCCTAAAGGAGAATATTTTGACGAGAGCAAAATTTAATCGTGAAATGCTTTTTTTTCTCTTTGCCATGATAAAATCTTTAATAATCCTACTTTGTTTTAACCATATATAATAATTTTGTCTTATTTAAAGTAAAAAGAAAAACAACTGGTTTAGGGGCCAATTACAAAAAATCAATAGTGGTTCCCTTATATTCTGTAATAACGATCTTAACCCATTCCTGCATAAAGTTTCCTCTTGTCTAATCTACTTAGCTGACTAATTGCAATCTTAAGGCATTTGGCAGATGTAGTCATATTAGTCATCCTATACCGCATTAAATGCTGGTCAATTTCCTCACCGATAAAGAAAACATGAAGCAACACAGATGCGATTCTACAGAAGGATGCCAGTAATTCTATCGGCGTCACATGCGAGCAACGATGAAGTTTTAAAGAAAAGAGAAACAAACAAAAAATTATTGTACATAAAGACTCAACCTAAATTTCTATGACATATAATGAGAAAAGTAGGCTTCGAAAACAGGACACTCTCAAAACATATTAAAGTCAAGTGACAGAAGGTAAAAGCAAATAACTCACCTACCTAACTTGTGTAAATAGATGGCAGAGAGGTAGAGATAGTAAGAAGACAAACATTGCTAACAGCTAGGAATTATAGAAAGTTGTGGAAAGCCATGATCGACCATTTCTTCGAGGACTGAATAAGACTTGATTTAGCGAGACCATTTCAAACCCCAGCCTCGTCTGCTGGGCTCCCATCGTCGTTGTTGAAAGCAATGAACCTTTTTCTTCTCCGCCACCAGCGATTGGTTAAAGAGCCAGGCAGACTGTGTCGCCTAACCTTGATTGGCAGCCAGTCTAAAAGAAGAATTACTCTGAATTCCGTGGAGGAGATAACCGGAATGTACTCTACTATGTTAACCAAGTAATCATGTCAATTAACGCACGTTAACGAAAGATTAAATAAGGTGAAGTCATGTCCATTATTGCTTCAGTCGAGATAACGCATTTTATTTTTTTTAAAAGTGTTGGGGACGGAGTATGATTGTAATAATTGTGACGTAATTAACTTTTTTATGGTACAAGATAGTAAATTAACAATAATTAAAGCTTGACAGAAAAACCAGCAGAAGAAAATCTATTCGGTTGCCTCAAAAATAATTGTTTTCTTCTGTCAACTTCAGAAAGGTAAAGGACAATTGCATTTATATTATATTTATATTATATGCTCACGATTGCTATGACTTTTGCTGCTAGTTAATGGGTCGCCATTCGATATCATATCCGTAGATTTTGATGTGAAAATGTTTTCGACAAACACTTGAACCTGGTTTCCATTAGAGAAACTTTTCCCATTCAGATCTTTTTGAAGCGATCGTAAAAGGTGATAATCTAGTGGAAGGCCATATAGAAAATGGAGCGGGCGTAGAAGAGAAACCGAGTTCAATTTTTTATGTTATTTTTGCTGTATGTAACATTCTTTCGTCATGGGGTAGAACAAAATTGTTCCTTTAATCCGCTATGTACGCTGCCATTGCCATGCAGAAACTGAGGTATATACGTATAGTCTACATTTATTCTTAACGACAACGTATTATTACAAGTGGGGGTAATAATTTCCAAGTACAATTGGTGACTGCAAGACGGAAATTACTTATGACTCAACCTAATATTTGTATTTGTTCTTTCCTATCTTCCTGTCTATAAGAAGAGAGCGTAATAAATGCAAGCCGCGAAAAACAATAAAAATGAAATGATGACGTAAAGGGCTTTGATAGTCCAAGTATTGACGGTATATGAATGAGACAGAGAGAGAGAGAGAGAGAGAGAGAGCGAAAGAAGAAGAGAGAGGGAGAAAAAGAGAGTAAGAGACAGAAAGACAGATAATGAGAAAGAGAAAGAAAGTGAGAGAGAGAAAGAGAAAGATAGAGAGAAAGAGGAAAGAGGGGGACAGAAAGAGTGAGAGAGAGAGAGAGAGAGAAAGAGACACAGATAAAAAGAAAAAGAGAGAAAGAAAAAAGAGAAAGAGAGAGAGAGAAAATGTGAGATAGTGAAAGAGGGAGAAAGAAAAAGAAAGAAAGAATGAAGGAAAGAAAGAAAGAGAGAATGAGAGAGGGAGAAAAGAGAAAGCGAGAGAGAGAGAGAGAGAGAGAGTGAGAGAGAGAAATTCGACTACCCCTCCCCACAAATAAAGTAATTTCTCACATAACCGCTGCGGTTTGTGACCAAGGGCGGTTGTAGATTTTACCGCTTCTCAACCCAGAATACCCAAACTAGATCACCGAAGTTAAGCAACGTTGAGCTTGGTCAGTACCTAGATGGGTAACCACTTGGGAATACCAGGTGATGCAAGATTGATGTACAGGGTGTATAACGGATAATGGCCGAAATTTTTAATAGGAAAACCGAGTTTCATTTCACGTTGGGTTCGTTATATTCACTTACGCTCAAATACCATTGCGGATGGTTTGACTCCACCGCTACTACCCTAGCTATGGGTTAATTAGTAATGCTAGTATCACTAAATCATAATTATATCCCAAAAAACATTCTTACAATCTAAAAATATTTTCGTGTATTAATTATCTGTAAATAGTTGATAAGCCGTAGAAAACGAATACATTTTATTCGTTTCCTACAGAAAACCATACAAGATTTTTGAGACTTAGAAACCATCATGCTGGGAATTTGTGACACATTGCAACAGTTCTTGGAAAGAAGTTTAGGATTGATTTCATCACGATTCTTCTGTTAAGCATAGAGAGTAATTATACCTTCTGATTGCTCAAAATAGAGTCCAATAGTATTATAAAAAACCTCGGAGAATTCCAGTAAGATATCTTTAATCATTTCTAAGATACAACGGTTCAGAGCTTAATCTAACAAATGGACAATTTTGCTGTTGCACCCGGTAAATCATTAGAAAACATGCCATAGGGATAACGCGCCGAGAGGCTCGTAAAGTTTTGCCCGTGGGAGAAGGGTCTATAGGGTGAAAAATAATTCATCACTCATAAGTCCACATAGACGCTTTTGAAATCTGTTAAAACAACTAAGTGTGATTTGGTCATCTCCAGCCTACATATGGCAACAATAATCCATTTTTGGTCTGATTTGGCTCTTGTAAAAATATACTATAAGCATGATGAGTCAGATATTTATTGGTGCGACGCAAATAATCAAATATTTTCCAGCACCCTTAGTAATAAACCGGAAATATCGGAAAGGCGAAGGCAAAATCTACTTCAGAAACACCATCGGGAACACGTTCAGAATAACAGTCAGAGTAAAGCAAGTTAATTCTTATCTGTATTTGTTTCCCAAATATATCCGTCTGCTCAAGATAGATAGCTAATCCCTGTTGCCGAATATAGTCAAGCCCGTTTGGGCTTCTTCAGCACTCATAGAATCAATCTGTGATTTATACTGAAGCTAAACTGATTCGACTTTATTTACAGTTTTGAAAATAGAACATAATCTAAATCAGGTGTTCTCAACCAGGTGTGTGGAGATTTCTTGATCTCAGGGGACGGGTAATCTTTTACTTTGACACAAGTTTCTCATAGACTGTAGACATCATCAGAATAAAATCGATTTAAATAGTCCGGCCTTTATTTTATTAAGTATTTGGATTTTTGAACAATACTGTTGTGGTAAACCCTCCAACAGTAGAATGAACTCTTCATCCTCTAATAAATACGAACTGCAAGAGTCGTTGGGCAGTCGGTTGGGGAACGGAGGATTGCTTCTCGGCCTTTTGGCTAAGATTCGATCACGGCTAGGACTAGCTTGGACAAGCCAAGACCTGCTATGACTAGCTCTGACAAGCTTGGACAAGCTATGACCAGCTAAGACCAGCTTGGACCAGCGGCCCGAGTGAAAACACTCGGGTCCCCATGTTAAAAAACCGACCTTGTGTCACAACCTGACTCAGTGGGGGGGTCAAGTAAATAAACTGTTGGGGAGCGGAGGATCGTTTCTAGGCCTTTTAGCTAAGATTCGATCACGGCTACGACTAGGGTCTGGACCAGCTATGACAAGCCAAGACCAGCTACGACTAGCTTAGACCAGCTCTGACCAGCTCGGACAAGCTATGACCAGCTAAGACCAGCGGCCTGAGTGAAAACACTCGAGGCCCCACGATAAAAACCGACCTTGTGTCACAACCTGAATCAGTGGAGGGGGGGTCAAATAAATAAATGGTTGGGGAGCGGAGACACAGTGTTAACCTACCGTTAGGACGTACACCTCTATCTGCTTATTACAGAAGACGAAGGTAGGTTTAACAAGTGTATTGAAATAACAGATATATACAAAGCATGAATGTTAATAATAAGCAGATATAGGTGTACGTCCGAACGGTAGGTTAACATTGCGTCTCCGCTATATTTAACAGCCCCCGCCACGAGGGTTGTATGTGTCACAAAGCCGAGTTTACCGTGGGTTCTGCGAGCTCGTAGGCTCGGCCAAAAACATTCCCTTAGAACCCGTATAAACGGGTTCAGGGTCTGTCTACCTCCCCCGACGAAACTCTGCCCTTCGGCATAGCTTCGTCCGGGTTCCTCTCTGCCAAACCAGAGAGTTCGACAGAAGTCGCACACGGTCAGAGACTGCGTTTCCGATCCTCAACGACTCTTGCAGTTACTATTTATGACAGGAGGAAGAGTTTATTCTACTGTGAGAGGGTTTACCACAACAGCTATGAATTAAAACAAATTACTATGTATACAAGTTTAAAAATTTGAGAAGGAAGAAAAGTATTAATAAAGGAATTAATATCAGAAATTAACAAAATAGAACGAATAAAAGAATTGAGACCAAAGACTAGCCCTGGGTATGACGCTAAAGTACACCCAGCAGCAAGGCCTCTCATCAGGAGGTTTTGAGGAGCGTGAAACCACCATCTTTTATCGCTGGTTTTCACAGGGGTGGCAGCACCTGATAGGGTCCCAGCTATAGTCAAATAGTTAACGCTTAAACTGGGGTCAAAATACTATGAAAGTGTAAAAATAGGTTTTAATGCCAACAATACATATTCGGAAAAAAATATTGCCAGCAATATTTCTGGAGAAAAAAAATTACCAGCAATAAAAATGCTGTCGGAATTAAATAACCCATTGAGGTTGATATGCTATAAAACAAACCAAACCAAAAAAAGAAAGAAAAAAAAAGAAAAAGAAAAAAGAAAAAAAAAACAGAAGGAAAGAAAGAAAGAAAGAAAGAATGAATGAATGAAAATTAAGATCGAAAGAAAGTATTGGGTTGGCGCAGAATTATCAGGCGTTTTTTCCAACAATATTTATTATGAAAAAAGAAACAATTCAACAATAACATTTTTAAATGATTATTCTGGAGCGTAAGGTTTAAAAATTATTCAACATTTTCTGCTGCAATTAATAGTAAAACTCCTCAAAAAATAATCCATTGATATGTACTAATATGGAAAAGATTGATGATTTTCAGTAATATATGCATATTATTTGAAATACACCTTTTGAGTCGAACAACCTTTGAAAGGATGTATGACATTCTGATTTATGTTGAAAAGGGTGCATTGGCCAAAAAAGGTTGAGAACCCCTCGTCTAAATGGGCCTTAGTTTCAGTTTTTATCAAAGCCAGGACGATAAATCTGCTGGTCATGCTGACTTTCGCCAGTCTTTGAATCAGAATCTCCCAAACAATTTTGGCTATGTAATTCCACTCACAACCAGTGGCATTTTTTTTCATGCACTTCGCAACGCTGCTGCACGTCTCTCCAGTCTATTATAAAGAAGTCAGCTTCTTGACAAATCGAAATATACTGAGATTTGAACCCGGGTCACATAGTCGAAAAGCTAACTTTCTTTAAGTGAATCCTGATTAAAGTAATGGAAGAACAGAAAGGAACAATCGACAACTTACGATTTACCGACCACGTTGATGACTTGACAGGGGAAATGAACAAGTTACCTACTTTATTGGAATGCCTAAACAAGACTTCGGCGACATAGACGTGTTGAGAAAACCAAATCTATGACGAACAAAGCCAACGCTGTCACTGACAAGAAGTTGAAAAGCATCCACAGATTCAAATAAATATGGGCGAATGTATCATGCCATGGATTAAGAGCAGAATAAACCCAAGGATTTAGCTAGGGATAAGGACAATCTAATGTTAAGGATTAAGTCAAAGATTTAAACCAGATTAAAGTCCGTATTAAGTCAGGTATTAGGACAAAATTAAAGCCAATGTTAAACCAAGAATTAAGGCATCCAGGACTAAAGCAAGGATTACAACCTGTTTAAAATCATGAATACTACATGGATTTATATAAGCTTAAAGCCAATATTAAGTCAAGAATTAATGTCAAGTTAAAGCAGAGGACTGAGTCAAGGATTAAGAGCAGATTAAACGCCAGATTGTCAAAGATTAAGGCCAGTTTAAAACAATGATTAAATCATGGATTAAGACCAGATAAAAGCCATGAAATAATTACAGTAATAACGCAGGGTTAGATGCAGGTTTAAGTAAACGATTAAAACCTACTTAAAACCAGTATTAAATCAAGGATAATGTTAGGATTAAATCAGAGATTAAGGCTAGATTACATCCAAAAATAGACCAAGGATTAAGACAATATTAAAGCAAAAATTAAAGAAAAAGATGAGGTCAATGATTAAAGCCAGGAGTAAGTCAAAAATAAAGACTAGATTAAAATAAAGTTAAGTGCCAAGGCTTGATTAAAGTTAGAACGAGTCAAGGATAAAAATGAAGTTAAAGCTGAGAATCGTCCCGAAGGCGACCTGGATTAGCTATCTAATTGAGCTCAGACTCAAATGCAGCCTGCTCATCTTAATGTTCTTTAACAGCTATGAATCGAGAGCAGTTATGAAGAGGAATTGAGAGGCCATAAAGACGAGATGCATTCGAAAACTACTGGTCATTTGCAAACGTCATCGACCTGACAAAGCAGTGAGAAAAATTGTCTGGGAAGCAAATGAAAGAGATAGAATCCCTTTACTTACAGTAAAATGGCCTAGACTAAAATGATAGGTAGACTTTAGGTTCATCAGCGCAATTCTAGAAGGCATGGTGAAAGAGCTAGAAGAAGAGAAAATCACAGAGACGGGGTAAGTCAGACGAGGGAATCGTACGCTGGAACCGACACGAACGGTCTTGACCGACACCAAGTGAGAGGGTCAGATTCCAAGATTTTGTAGAAGGACCAACCGGGAATCACTCCGTACACTCGTCAGGAGCATCAGCTGACTGCTTATACTTCTCGATTTTTCTTTTTATAGGCACTTTTCATTGCTGTAAGTTTTTCAGAGTGTATGTGTGCGTGCGTTCGCACGCAGGTGCCCATACGCCCGTCAGTTGGTATTATACAGGCGAGTCCCATTAACACAGCATAGAATTTGAAATATGTTAAAACTGACTAACAAAAGAGCGTTCAATGTTTACTTTTATTAAACAGCAATTTTTTACAATTGGAATTAAGATAACTGTAGTTAGTATCCTAATTTCAGTTCTAAAGATTATATGTATGTGTATATATATATATATATATATATATATATATATATCATATATATATATATATATATATATATATATATATATATATATATATATATATGTGTATATATATATATATATATGAATAAATATAGTCTTAAGTTGTGCAATATTTAGGGATAAAGTGTTCAATATCAGAGATAGAGCGTGTGTAAATATAAAAGTGAACATAGAAGTCACCACTTAGAGGCGACAGTCTGTTTCATGATAGACGCAATCTTCAGGCCACGAGTGCTGTTATTTTTCTCGGCTATTTATAAATATACGGGTCAGTGGTGCATTGTGGGTATTTTGGCGGTTATTTTACAAGAAGTCATTTATTTGTTTAATTATTTATTTGGGTTAAATTATTTTGCTTGTTTTTATTTATTTCTATTTTTTATTTTTATTTTTTATTTTTATTTCTTATCTTATATATTTATTTTTTATTTTTATTTATCGGCGTTTTTATTAACATAGTAAGTATTTGTTTATATCGCTTATTTAATAGTTTTGTTTTGGTTTGGGAAGATAAAGCTATTTATTCAATTTTGGGGTTGATTGTTGTAGTTTATTCTAACTGTTATTTTGGCGAGAGCAGTTTCTAATTTGTTTATTACTTCATGTATTTATTTGGATTGATTATCTGTATTTGTTTTTTCTAACGGTTACTTTATCGGGATCGGTTTGTTAGTTTATTTATTTATTTGACTGAAAATAAATATGAGAAATAAAAGTGATTTTCACTGTTACAGTGCATTTCTTGCATCATTTGATTAAAAAACACAGAAAAAATATCCGTGAATATGAAAAACTTATGCTAAAAATAAGCAATCTTTGTAATGTATTTAATCAGACATGCTTAAAAGAAATATATATATATATATATATATATATATATATATATATATATATATATATATATATATATATGTGTGTGTGTGTGTGTGTGTGTGTGTGTGTGTGTGTGTGCGTGTGTGTGTGAGGAGTGAGAGTTATGACTTTTTGTAACAAAACTAATGAAAAAAGGTATTAATTTATTTTAGTTCTTGAAAACTTCCCCCCCCCAACAAAATTGAAAACTCGATTTTTACCATATATATAGTTGGGGTAAAAAATCAAAATATTTCAGAAGCTTTATTTTTCAATTTGCTCCTGTTGTATATTTTTATTATTGTAAAATACAATAATTGCGACGAATGGCTAAAAAAATATTTAAAAAAGCCTGTCTCAGGCAGAGGCTGGGAAGACTCCCTAGAGATAGATTTAGCTAGGCAGGCTTTGGAGCGAATGGCTAGCGAGCGCTACCAGGGTCAGGTAGTTAGACATATGTTAAACAAGATATCTAACGAAACCGTGAACATGGATGCACAATTGCGTAAGAAAGAGATTCGTCAATATTCCGATCGTTACATTCGTGAAGTTAAAACCTCTGAGCTCGACTGACATGTGCGAGGCGTTTCGGCAGCATTTCCAAAGCCGATTTACTGGTCTCAGTAGCGATGATTTTAGCTGCTATTTCGCTGACTTTCCTCGGCTTTTGCTGACTGAAACGTCTAGTTGCGAGGGTGAGATCACGGAGGGCGAAGTCTACTTGGCATTAAAGAGGGTCGGCAGTGGGACTTGATGGTTTATTCTATACATTGTACTTGAGGTTATCGCTCATCTTTTTGTCGATTTTGACTGTTGTGGTCAACAGCTCGTTCCGGCAGGGGTCTATTCCCTGACGGATCCGAAGGGGTATGATCACGCTGTTGAAATAGGGCAAAGGTGGTGGGCCGGATTTAGATGGTTACAGACTCATAACTCTGCTAAACATTAGATTTAAAGATTTCGCCCAAGATCCTGACGGAGCATTTGCAGTCAGTTGTCGAGGGTCCTCTTGTGACCCGATCAGACTTGTGCTGTGAAGGGCCGAACAATTCAGAGCAACCTGCATATGATCCGCACGATCCTAGATGGTGTAAAAGACGACAAGCAAACCGAGCTGATCAATTTGAATCAGTCCAAGACATTTGATAGGGCGACCATCTGGCTGCTCTCATGCACGCTTCCGGATTCGAGCCCGACTTCTGCAACTGGATTAGCCTCCAGTATCGCTCCCCCAGTGCTACAGGTGAACGGAAAGCGATCACGCGCTTTTGCGCTTTGGTCGGTTCATCAGGGTTGTCCACTCTTACTTTATGCTTCGGTGTTGGAGTCGCTCCGTCGCCGGCTGAGGGACAGGGCGTGCAGTCCGGCCCTACGTAGAATCGCTATCTCAGGTGGGGACTCAAGTCAGATTTTCCGCGTGCGCCAATGATGTATCCATTTTCGTGTCGTGTCGCAGCGACATTGGGGTGGTACAGAAGGCGCTTGAACGATACGTAAAGGTCACAGGGATCAAGAATATAAGAAGTCTTCCGGCTTGCGGTTAGGTGTCCTGGAAGTGGGTATCTCTTCTGGGACCCTTTGATTGGGCGGACGGTCCTGTATGCATTCTTGGAGTGTGATTTGGACCCGACCTCCCGCTGGAGAAAAATTAGTCAGAAGTACAGGAAAAGGGTGGTGCGTCGGCCTTGACTTTGGCCCAAAGGAGGTTGTCCTTGAAGGGTAGAGCTGAGGTGTGTTCCTCTTAGTCTTTCCTTCTTATCCTTTACCGACTGACTGTACTCCCTCTTTGCAAGAACCATAGGAAGGCGATCAGGCGCTTGTTGTACACCCTCTTGTTGAGTGGGCAGAAGCAGAAGACCAATAAATAAGTTTGTGTTCAACTTTTGTGTCATCGAGTGCCGGGATTGCCAGTTGGCTTTCCTACGCCGCGTTTTGGCAGTGGGTTCGATTTTGGTGGGGAGTGTTAGGGACGCCTTCCCTAGCCTAACTATCACTCCTCCCATTTCCTGGGCTAAGCGTCATCGTAAATCTGGGAAATTGCCGACTTTCCTCAGTGTGTGTCGAGCGTCCTTGAGCGCTTTTCCTCGCTCTAGTGACCTTTCCTGGCCTCGAACGGTCTTGTATCGTGAATTAGGTGGAGAGGGTCCTGAAGGACCGTCTCTGTGAGTGGCTCGGTTTGTCGCTGGCCGAGTTGCGCTCTTTTTGGTCTTGGGTGCCAGCGGCGAATTAGATTTTGTGTACCTAGTTAATGTGAGTTAGTGTCGTTCCCGGCTTTTTCTTTTGGTTATGATCCAAGTTGAGATTCACAACCTCCCCTGTTTTTGGTCCCTTTGAATCTCGACTGGTTCAGTCTTTGATTTCCCCACGGCCACATTTATTTTATCCTTCCCATTCCGTTCTTGATTCTGTCTGATGACAGGATACAGCGGCAACTCTTATTTTTGTGGGATGGATGGGTCCTATTAAAATCTGTTATTTTCTGTTTTACATTTGTTATGTTCGTAATTGGGATTCATACTCCTCCCCCTCATTTCGTATCATCTTCTTATATATATATATATATATATATATATATATATATATATATATATATATAACATTTGTCAATAGGAAATCTGTACATAAGAAATTTTTAAATTATGAGGTTTCTTTTGTAGGTTCCCTTTGTGTATGGGGTATTGTGGTATATGTAGGAGTAAAAGGAGAAGGGTGTCTTCTTTTGGTATATGTTTTATTTGTATTGAATGAATGAGTTGTGAACATTATTAGTTAGGTATAGGATAGTTAATGATGACCAGCCTCAACCAACCCCACCCACTTTTTGGGGCCGTGTGCCCAATTATTGTGTTTTACAATAATAAATATATACTTCACAGGATATCCAGCGAAACTTTTAACAAAGTGACGTGAAAAATTCTAGTTTGCTAATGATGGAATTGGATAGTACTTTTAACGCATTTTAGTTTGTAGCTATAGTATAACATAAAAAATATAAATAAACAAAAAAAAAGTTCTAGAATCCATAAATTTCTAGAAGGCTCCAGGAAGTTCTAGAAAGTTTCAGAAAGTTTCAGAATGATTCCATAAAGTCATAGTACTACTATACTTATATACAATTTTAGAAATGTCGTGTTGGAGGTGACATTTATTTAAAGAAATAAACTGAATTAAACTGATTTTCATTTTATTTTAACAAAAGTTCATCGAATTATGATAGAGAAAATTCATTATTTTATGAAAAGTCATAACACTAATATATATGGATATTGTGGGTAAAGAATAACAACAAAAGCGATGTAAACAAGATTCTTTTAAAATCTAAATCAAATCAGTTACATTGTATACCCAAAACAAATATTAAAAAAGAAGTTAAATATGAAATTCTCAGCGTCTTCGTATTCAGTTTAGTTGCATGAACGTAAACATAAACTCAGTCCGATGACGTCCTAAAGGACAAAATGCATCACTCTAAAACATTTTCCACTTTGTCATATTTCTTTCATCTCAGATTTCTCTTGGACGGACAAAGATGGAGTAGCAGGTGGACAAGTAATCTGAGGCGTCTTCACCTTCTTACAGCCAAATCAAGAACACTAGTTCTCATACGATCGCTGCAGTTAAGCAACGTCGAGCATGGTCACTACCTAGATGGATGACTGCTTGAGAATACC